AAAAAAAAAAAAACCACAGGTAACATTTTTCTAACAGTATTGTGGAAGGGCCTGATGGAAAACAATATTGACACATTTTGATGGTTTCTCTCTCATAGGCTCAGACTGTCCAGGTTGCTGAAGTTGAACCACAGTCACAGCCACAGCCTTCCCCAGAACTTCTGCTTCCAAATTCTCTGAAACCAGAAGAAGGGCTTGAAGTATGGAAAAACTGGGCCCAGACCAAGAATGCTGAGTTAGAGAAGGATGCTCAGAACAGACTGGCACCCATTGGGAGTGAGTGTTTGTGAAGGAGAGAGGAGGGTGGACTCTGTCTAAAATGCAGTGGTATGAAAGCAGCTGGAGGACAAAATGGCAGAAAAGTGGTGTCGCTTGGCTCTGGGGGTTAGGGATCACCATGTGAAATAGTATGCTAAATTCAAGACCAGCAACAAGCTGGTAATGAGCAGGATTTATGGTGTTTGCCCAAAACCAGACATTTTTGTACACATGGATTTCTGGAGTCAACCTAGCAGATCTGGGCAGAGTAAATTCTGGAAGGAGATAGGACCAGTGAGTGTGCTCAAGGGCCTTCTTCCTTAGCAATATGTTCGTATTCTTCCTCTTAAAGTGTGGATTTTGGGGGTTTTGTTTTTGCTTTCATGTCTTGGCCCTAATAACGTTGGGGGTATGTGTGGTGGGAAGGATTGTGGGAAGGAAAGCCTTGGTGTAAACAGGGCATACAGGATTACTATCTTAGTGGGCCAATTCTGACCTTAGATACAGGTGACCATTTCTGTCTTAGCACCCTGATGATCAGTGTCTTCTCTGAGCCCTCCTTCTGGGGATCTGAGCAACCTGTGAAGAGATTACTGTTATCAAGATCCCCTCCCATTCACCTTTGGGGGTTACCTTTGGCTTGTGTTGCAGGGCGCCAACTGCTTCGATTCCAGGAAGATCTCATCTCTTCTGCTGTGGCTGAGTTGAATTATGGGCTCTGTCTAATGACAAGAGAAGCTCGAAATGGAGAAGGTGAACCCTATGATCCAGATGTGCTCTACTATATTTTCCTGTGTATTCAAAAGGTAGGAAACAACTTCGCAGGAACATGTTTGAGCTGTTCCCATTGGGTATTTGCTGGTTACTCAGATTAGTAAAATGATAAGCAAGTGATTATAGGGAAGTTTTCTTTCAACTATATAATAAGTTTTTATTTTTTTTTTATTTTTATTTTTTTATTTTTTTATTTTTTTTTTTCAACGTTTTTATTTTATTTATGGGACAGACAGAGACAGAGCATGAACGGGGGGGGGGCAGAGAGAGAGGGAGACACAGAATCGGAAACAGGCTCCAGGCTCCGAGCCATCAGCCCAGAGCCTGACGCGGGGCTCGAACTCACGGACCGTGAGATCGTGACCTGGCTGAAGTCGGACGCTTAACCGACTGCGCCACCCAGGCGCCCCTATAATAAGTTTTTAAATGTGCATCTTTTAAAATTGCAAAAGACCTAACATGTTCACTTCAAAAAAAATAAAATAGACAGCATATGTAATTCTGTCATCTAGAGAAATTTTTGTTAAAATGTTTGGTATATTAAAACTTTTTAATCACAAAGGATTTGTATATAACACTTTTCATTAAAAGTAAACACATGGTTTGCATAAAAGTAATTTATCCAAAATAAAACCTGGTGCTAACATTCAGCCCATTTTCTCATTGTTCCCTGCATTAACACAGAATAATTATTCGAGAGTCTAGCTAGAATATCCAGCTGTAGTTGGGCTTTCAGGACATCTAACGTGAAACATAACAGGGAAACTTGTCTTAGAACTGGCAGTTTAAGAGAACAAAGGCGGATTTCTTAGTGTGTGAATGCTCTTGTGGAGAAACCCACGGTATGATGCAAGCACTTGCTGGTTGGGACCACCCTGTTGCCTGGGCCTGAGAAAAGTCTGCCCCCCAGTTTGTTCCTCTTTCTTCCCAGTCACCCAGGGCACTGAGTGGATTGCTTTACATGCTCTGTTTCATTCCATGCTGTCCCTAGTCCTAGAAGGCTGGCACAGTCCTTTCCATTTACAAAGAAACTGAGCCCCAAAAGTTGAAATACTCAGATGAGTTATTTAACTTACACTATAGCTAATAAGAGGCTGGCCCCAGAGCCTGTATTGTTTTTTTGCTACCACAAGACAGTGCCTTATCTGGGAGAAATAGTATTCACAAAATCTGCCCCTTTGACCCTACTCTCTAGAGTGTTGTGAGGGTCATTTCACATGATTTGAAGTGTGCTGTGGAAGCGTCACATGCTGGACATTTTTGACCTGTTGTGTTGGTTTGTTAAGGAAGAAGAAACAGGTAGGGAGAGGTAGTGATACAGTGTTTATTTACCCTGAAAGTTTTATTCAGGAGACTACCAACAACTTTTATTGTTTTTCTTTTAGTATCTTTTTGAAAATGGAAGGGTTGATGACATTTTCTCCGATCTTTATTATGTTCGATTCACGGAGTGGCTACATGAAGTTCTGAAAGATGTTCAGCCCCGAGTCACTCCACTTGGTAAGAGTCTTCCTAGTCCTTGGATGTCTTTCCCACCTGGGTTTATAAAAGATCAGCTGTTTTTGTGGCTGGCTATGACAGCATGTGGGTGAGGAGGCTATAAATCCTTGGCACCAGCATGAACTTCTGTACTGCTTGGCCAGATACTGAAGGGGCACTGCACATCAGACAGAGAAACCCCTGGTCCCAGTGTGGCCAGGACATGGGGGCATGCAGAGCCTTGGGTTGTTACTCTTCTCTTTGTTTTAATTAAAATTTATTGGGGTGCCTGGGTGGCTCAGTCAGTTAAGTGTCTGATTTCGGCTCAGGTCATGATCTCATGGTTCGTGAGTTCGAGCCCTGTGGTGGGCTCAGTGCTAACAGCTCAGCCTGGAGCCTGCTTTGGGTTCTGTGTCTCCCTCTCTCTCTGCCCTTCCCCTTCTCACGCATGCACTCACTCTCTCAAAAATAAATAAAACATTTAAAAAAATTTTATTGATTAAAATTAGAATCATTGCAAAACTTAAGAATTACGAACTCTTTCATATAGGTTGCTCATGTTACATACTAGAGATTTTTTTCCCATATGTTTGAACATATGTTCTACATATATAGAGCGTAATTTTTGCTTTACTCATAAAACTCCTGAAAGAACAAGAGTCTTAGAGTAGAATGTCTGAGGTATTTGGGGTTTTATTTTTTAATAAATTTTTATCTTTTTAGAGCACTTTTAGGTTTACAGAAAAAATTAGCAGGAGGTAGAGAATTCCCATATACTCCCTCACACACTCTTCCCTCTATTATTTAATATTTTGTATTCATATGATGTATTTGCTATAATTGATGAGCCATTATTGACACACTACAGAAGTCTGTAGTTTACATTAGGGTTCACTCCTGTTCTACATTCTGTGGGTTTCAACAAATGTATAATGACATGTATCTACAGTTGCAGTATCATACAGAAGTTTCAGGGCCCTAAAATCCTCTGTGCTCCACCTATTTATCCCCTCCGTCCCCAGATCTCTGCAATCACTGATCTTTTCACTGTCTCCATAGTTTTGCCTTTTCCAGAATGTCATATAGTTGGAATAATTCAGTATGTAGCTATTTCAGATTTATTTCTTTGACTTAGCAATATGCATTTAATGTTCCTGTGTGTCTTTTCATGGCTTGATAGCTCATTTATTTTTACTTCTGAATAATACACCATTGTATGGATGTACCACACAATTTGTTTATCCATTCACCTATTGAAGGACATCTTTGTTGTTTCCAGATTTTGGCAATTATGAATAAAGCTGCTGTAAACATTGTGTGCAGGTTTTTGGTGAAAGAATAGAGAGCCCAGAGGTAGAGTCGCAGAAATACAACCAACTGATCTTTAACAAAAAAGTAAAGGCAGTTCAGTGGACAAAGAATAGTCTTTTCAACAAGTGGTGCTGGAACAACGGGACATCCACATACCAAAAAATGAATCTAGATGGAGACCTTACACCTTTCATAAAATTAACTGAAAATGGGTCATAGACCTAAATGTAAAACACAAAACTATAAAACTCCTAGAAGATAACATAGGAGAAGATCTAGGTGACCTTGGGTTTGGTAGTAACTTTTTGGATATACCACCAAAAAGTATAGTCCATGAAAGAAAATAATTGATAAGTTGGACTTCGTTAAAATTAAAGGTTTATGCTCTGTTAAAGACACTGTTAAGAGAATGAAAAGACAAGCCACAAACTGGGAGAAAATATTTGCAAAACTCATACCTGATAAAGAACTGGTATCCAAAATATACAAAGAACTCTTAACGCTCAACAATAAAAAACAACCTGAACCAAAAAAAAGGAAAAGATCTAAACAGATTCCTCACCAAAGAAGATAACACAGGTGGTAGATAAGTATATGAAGATGCTTATCATTAGATATCATCAGGAAACTGCAAATTAAAAATGAGATACCACTATACACCCATTAGAATGGCTAAAATCACAAGCAGTGGCAGGCCCAATTGCTGGATAGGGAGGACAAGAATGCTCATTCGTTGCTGGTGGGAATGCAAAATGGTACAATCCCTTTATAAGCAGTTTGGCTTTTTTTTTTTTTT